GTATTTTCTTTTTTTTTTTTTTTAAATATATATTTCATTGTGTTTTAGGTTTTAGGAAATATCTATTTTCAAAGCAGAGGTTGGAGTAAGGAATGAGTCAGTTTCTGGTAGAACTTCAGCAGCTTCTGAAATGTAGATTTGAGTTTGTGTGTTTATATTACTTATCCTTGCTGTTTGTACATTTATACACACAAGGCTCCCTGTGATTCTCTATAGGAAAGAGAAAAAGCAGCCCCGTTATCCTCATCCCTCACCCAATCTGTGTAGTACCTACTTCGGAACTAACTCAACTGTCTTTCTCCCTTGGCACCTGTATTTTAAAGCCCATGGCCTTTCAGGATAACTGGCTCTTTTCCTTTAGGAGATTCGTTAAGTTACAAGGATCTCTTTACTTAGGGCAGGGCAGTGAATTCCTGCTGTGGTATTGGATTGGTGGTGTTGTGGTGGGATATTGATTATCTTTTAAATCAGAGTTTTATTAGCTGTATAAAATTGTTGGACTATAGCATTTACAGCATACAGGCAATCCTATTTTAAAGTATATTGAGTCTTTAAGTGGATTTCCCTAGAAGATGCCTATTCCCAGTCATTTACCCACTCTCACTGCATCTTTATGTGACCTCTGGCAAGTTTTTTTCAACCTTTGGAGGCTGGATTTCTTCCATAAGATAAATGGTTTAGACTGGTGAGGTTGTAGGGGGCAAGTGTCCTCAGAATTCTCTCATACTGTCACCTGTTCCTAGTTTTCTCTCTGTGTCTTTGGTCACTGTAGTAATGCTGGCCTGGTTTGGTCTCTGTTTAGGTTGCGTCTGCACTGGAGAAATGGAAGACAGCAATCCGGGAAGCTCAGACTTTCTCCAGGATGCACGTGCTGCTTGGGATGCTTGATGCCTGTATCAAGTGGGATATGTCCGCAGAAAATGCTAGGTGCAAAGTTTGTCGTAAGAAAGGTATGTTTAGATCAAATTTGCTTATGTGGGTATATTAGGGAGTAGGATTTCTATTTTCAAGATCTTTATTTCTACCCAAAAGAATTTTGTGTACACAGAATGTAAGTGTGGTAGTATAGATTTTACTCTCCTGAAGGTCTATAAAATGCCAGTCTTTGAAATCTCATGCCCGGGAATCAGAGCAGGTCCTTTGTTCCTCAATTTAGAGCATAAAATAAAAGAAATTGATCTCTTCAGTCTTCAGATTTTCTACAGAAAACAAAATTAGGTTAGTTTAGTTTTGAATCCTTTAATTGGCTCAGAACTGGAGTCGTCTGTGAAGTAAGTTATGTGCTTCCAGCAGCGGGCAGTCCTTGTACAGTGGGAGGCATGCAGTCTTGTCTGTGTAAAACGAACTTCATGGCTAGAAGCCCCCTAGTGATTGGCTTCTGAGTGGCTAGAGTTGTTTCCTGAGTTAGGTTAGAGGTGAAAAGATCTGCATAAAATCAGTTGCTGTAAAGCGTTCAATTGCTCTACAATGAAGGTTGGAGGGAGAAATGACCTTATTAAATTGACTCGTGTAACACTTTTTCAAATGTAAGGAAACCACATGGTTTAAGGGAACCCATCAGGGGCCGGACACGGTGGTTCCCACCAGTAATCCCAGCACTTTCGGAGGCTGAGGGAGGAGAATCGCTTGAACCTGGGAGGTGGAGGTTGCAGTGAGCCGAGATTGCACCACTGCACTCCAGCATGGGCGACAGAGTGAGACTCTGTCTCCAAAAAAGTAATAAGTAAATGAGAGTGCAAACCCATCAGGCATAAGTTAGAAAACGTTTGAGGAGGTCAAAAGGGCAGAATTTTCTGCTCTCACTGGGGTTTTTTGTGCCTATTAGTAATTACTAACTATTCTGTCTTAGCCATGGGGAGATTTTGTTCGGGATATAATTTAGGAGACCTGATTCCTAAATTATCTGTAGTCTAAATTATGCTACTTTTTTTTTTTTTTAATAGAAAATTCCCAAACTATGAATAA